AGGAAACTAACTATAGGCCTCTGCACGTTCTATTAAAAGGGGGTGGGGGGAAGAACTGAACACAGGGCTAGACCAGCGGCTTACGGAGCCAGTATAACATATGGAAGGTTATAGGAGAATAATCCTAAAAACTATATAATGAATACCGCACTCAAATAGTAATAATTGATACTAGAAGTAATTACTGTGAAAAATTCATGATATTTATTCTAAATAAAGTTATATAGAGTATGAAAATAGAAATGTTCATTTCATCCTGAGTACACCAATTATATACATTGAATATATACAATATATACAGTATATACAGAATATTCCATATATAGGATAGAGTTCATCTAATGTGTATACACTTGGTGAAAATTCATAGAAAAAATGTTGAAAATACTGAAAAAATGAAAAATATGAAAAAATGAAACAGATAAGAAAATGAAAAAAATAAAAAATATAATGAAAATAATGAAAAAATCCCCAATCCAAAACAGAAAAAAGGTAAGGGGAAATAAAAAGAAAATAAGGGATGGAAAAAAGGAAAAAAGAAAAAATGAAAAAACAAGCAAAATAATCTGAAAATCCTGGTAGTCCAATATAGTGCACTGTATATAGCTATATCTGGATAGATCTCACCAATTGTAGAAATCTTTTTCTTGGTGTACCAAATCAAAGTTGTAATCAGATGATGATCTAAACGAAGGTGAAGGTAATAATAGTTGAAACAAACGGACAGTCACTCCATCAGCTCCCAGTTGGTGTGTGGTCAGAAGCAGCTCCCAGTGTGTATGTGGTCTGAACGAACGGCAATGAACTAATGCAGGCAATCCAGTCTAGGGACAAATATCATGAATTTTTCACAGTAATTACTTCTAGTATCAATTATTACTATTTGAGTGCGGTATTCATTATATAGTTTTTAGGATTGTTGTTTGGAGGTTGTCTTTGGGGTTAACCTCGAATACCGGCACCTATATGTAATTGAGTGCCAGCACACGTTGTAATTTTTTATAGGAGAATAATCAGTGGTTCGTATGCATCATACAACATTGCAAACTAAAAACAGTGATATCTAATGAGACAGGTATGTGAAGACTTCAAGTGAAAGTTGTTTGTCTCAGGTCCACCCATCCTGGGTACAAATGGAGTAATTCCTGCAACAGTCCAGAATGTGTGATCCTTCTGTAGTGCCTTCTTTGGATTGGAGGAAAGCTGCTGCTTCAGAAAGGTGTGTCAGCATGTGTGACTTGCCGGCCTTATCATCCAGGATTCGGGATTCGGGGGGTGGGCCCCACTTGTATGGGGATAGAGTGCTTCTGCAGTAACTGGGTGACTTGCCTAAAGAATCGTCGCTATGTTAAGGTATGTCTGGAAAAGTCTCAGAAAAATATCAGCTGTGCCCCCTCAAACGACACAGTGAGAGAGCCTCTTACAGCCCCCATGATTGCTCTGCAGTCAGAGTCCTGATTTAATTTAAACAGGACGTCTCTGAGTGTGTCTTGAGCTGCGTTGAAAGCTTTGGTAAGTCGGAAACAGGAGTCTACCACTATTTGTTTTGCCTGCTGGGCAACAGCAGTGTGGCCATGAGCCTCCAACAGTAGTGAGGGAGTTCTGCTCCTACAATCGTTTCTGGTACTTCCCGGATTCTTAAATTACGTACTCTGGCCATGTCATCCATGGTGGCTCTCTGCGCCTGTTGGTCTGAGCATTGTTTCTGTAACACTCCTATAGTGGCCAATTGTGCCAGCTTGGTGTCCTCCATACCTTCCTCCACTGCTTGCACTTTGTCCATTAGCTTGGATACTGCCTCGGGAACCGGAGCCATGTCCGCATTAAACATAGACTTGATTTCCGCCACTAGTGCCCTGATGTCTGCTTTAGTCGATGGAGCAGAATCCTCCAACTCTGCAGCTGTCTGTGGTGCTGTGCGTGGCCAGGAGGGAAGAAGTCAGCGGTGGCACTAGCCAAGATGGCAGCCCAGTGATGCACTTTTTTGGAGGGAGGAGGCATAATGCACTTGTGTTGCCAAAAATTCTTGCACTGGCCTTGAGTGAACCCACACTCTAGTGCAGTATACATGCCTACACTCACTGCTACACATACACAATGCGACACACACAGTCAGACATAGTACACATTGTAGTTAGTATCTTAGCGATTTAGGGACATTTCCACTTCTAAACGCTCTTTTTCCCCTTATGTCACTCCCTGTGTTGTGATGTTGTGTCCTGTGATGTCAAGCATGGATAATTAATTATGCAAATTAGCATGGCCAGTATTTATTTATTTTTTTATATATAAAGGTGGCAATCCTAATAGCTATGACAGGCTATTAACACTATTACTGTTACAATGCCTCAGCCAATGACCTTGTCTGTGCCTCTCTCTTTTCCTCACTCTAATCTAAGGTGAGAGAGGCAGAGAGATCATTGCCTAAATCAAATCAGACTCTAAAGATGACTCCTCCCCTTTCAGAAAGGGGGATATCAAGAGGTTGTTGGTGAAATTGAGGCAGGTCTGCAAGATCGACCTACAAGAGGCCCAGGCAGAAATAGGGGCCATACAGTAGAAAGTAAAGGCTGTTGAAGACAAAGAGAAGTCCAGAGACAGTCAGCTCCAGGACACTAAAACCCAGGTGAAGAGCCTCACAAAACAGGTCCGACAGTTGTATAAAATGGTGGCATCAATGGAATCCCGTCACAGACGCAGCAATGTACGCCTGAGGTGGAAAGGTGGAAGGTGAGGAGCTTCTACCATATGTCCGAAGACTTACTGCCTTCATGGGTCTAAAAAGCACTGCAGATTCTCCACTAATAACATCAACCTTTCTGCGTGCGCAAGTCGACAGCAGCACCTGCAGGAGCCCCCAGAGACACCATCGTCACCACCAGAGACATAGCAGCCAGAGCGGCCATGCTGAACTGATCCAGTGAACTTTGAGGGAAACACTGTGGCCATATACAGTGACTTACATTTCTCAGTTCTTACGGAGAAAAGGCAATTGGTTCATGTAGCCAAAGCCCTAAGAGATCTCTCCATTAAATATCACTGGAGGATGGAAGGCTCTCTGGTGATCCCCTGGGGTACCGAAACGCTTATCCTGTCCTCTGCAGATGATCCGAAGAGACTTTTCCACAAACTAGGCTTACCTTCCATTCACATAATGGAGGGGACACACCAGATCTCTCCACCACAGGAAAAGAGAAATCCGGGATCTGAGGGCTCCGCAGGCTAAAAGGGACACTCAGCTCAGTGACAGACACCAAAAATCTAATCTTCAGCAGACAGATATGTCAATATCAATCGTATAAGCTAAGCTCTAAAGTGTTGATAACCCCTTTTTACCATTAATGTCTGACACGTTCCACATCGTTAGAGGTGTTGCCTACTTCTTTCTAGTATAGCGGAGACGACAGCTCAGCAGCGCATAGAGCATATAGCTCTCTCAATTAGTAATGATGTGTATGTCATCTTGCTCTTCCTCTGTTGTCGCATTATTATTGTCAGTATAATATGTCACCTTGTACCCATAACGGAGATATTTGTTACTTTGCATACCAAATTACTCATACAATGGCTCAGTTGCATGTAGCGTGTACACACTTTATTAAACACAAATTGAAAAAAGGAAAAAAAAAGAAAGTGGGGTTCATCATGCATCAGCTTACACATAAAGCATTTGGGTTGGCTAACCCTATATGGAAAGCAAACGGTCCTTTGGCTAATAATTATCTGGAGTTTCTCGAAGTGTTCCGCAGGACCTTTGATACCACTAACAAGGCCTGGTCCTACAGGGTCTACTGCTCAAACCTCAATGCTGAACTCTCTCTCACACATGAAGAGGAGCAGACCAAAAAAGATGGTGGTGACTACGAAGGCCAGGTTTAGGTAAGTAAATTTCACCTTTACCTGCACATCCCGGCCACCCGACTCCCAACAAGTCAGGAGGAACAGCGAGAGATCAGTAGAGGACAGATAGATTTGTGTGTCATCTACACGTCAGTGATATTGGAAGCCAAGAGAGCTGATGAGTTTATACTTATATACATTTTTATACTTTGATTCAGTATATCTCTTGACTGGGTTGGAATTTAGGTGAAAAAGGTAGTTAACTCAACTTATTCCAGGGAGGCAGTACAAATCGAGAACAGTAGGGGACCAAGGACCGAACCTTGGGGAACACCGACAGAGAGGAAGTGCGGAGAAGAGGAAGAGCCAGAAAAAGAAATATTGAAAGAGCGGTGAGAGAGGTAGGAGAAAAACCAGGAAAGAGAATTCTCGTAGACCAAGATTACAGAGGACAAGAAGTTGTTGATGATCAACAGCCCTTCATTTAATACACTGTAAAGACACACAGCTCTTAATTTATAATAAAATACACTGTATAGTCCATCTTTTAATAATATAATACACTGTGAAGACGCATAGCCCTTGATTTAATAATATAATACACTGTATAGCCCCTCATTTAATACACTGTGAAGACCCATAGCCCTTCATTTAATAATATAATACACTGTGAAGACGCATAGCCCTTGATTTAATAATATAATACACTGTATAGCCCCTCACTTAATACACTGTGAAGACCCATAGCCCTTCATTTAATAATATAATACACTGTGAAGACCCATAGCCCTTCATTTAATAATATAACACACTGTATAGCCCCTCATTTAATACACTGTAAAGACGCATAGCTCGTAATTTAATAATAAAATACACTGTATAGTCCCTCATTTAATAATATAACACACTGTATAGCCCTGTAGCTCTTTGTGTTTGTGTGTGTCTGTGTGTGTGTTTGTGAGTGAGAACATAAAGCGCGCCCCCGCGCTAGGACTCCAGTCTTCACTTCTAAACCTGGAGCGCGCCCGCGCGTCCACGGGGACTTTCCCCGCTCTCTGATTGGCGCGTTCGTATCGGCGCGATGACCTCAGTGAGAGCCGGCTCCTGTGATTGGAGGGTTTTTGCCAACTGTCCAGATTCAAATAGCAGCAGTTGCGAGCCTTGCCCGTCAGAGCCGCAGAGAGGCAGCCAGGCGTGCGGACCGGGGCAGACCAGCAGCCGTCAGGTAACCGGGCACCCAGCGATCAATCGGGTGTATAATGACTGATAATCACCTGTATCTATCACCTCACACACACGGTTCCCTGACATATAGTTATATGGCTATTACCCCCCCATTACCCCCCGGGTCTGTCTGGGTATTGTAGTCCCCAGCAAGGCTGGCATTCCCTGGTGATCCTGACAGGGTACAGAGCTGGCTACTAACATGGACTGCATTTCCCACAATGCCATGCAGACTTCAGACTGACCCACAATCCTGGCCAGACCTCCTACAGGGTGCTGGTAATGCTGCTCACAGCCAGCTGTCTGTCTGTCTGTTCTAATAGCCCTGCCTGAGAGTGATGGGAGTTAGCATGTCCCAGTCTATAGCCATGCATGCTGCTTCATGGCTGAGTGCTGTGGGAGTTGCCCCAGTCAGTGGCTCCACCTTCCATGGCTGAGTTTAATGAGAAAGTTAAAAACTGCATGAGTGAGGAGTTGGGTGTTTTTTTTTTGTTTTTTTTTTATTATAAGACTATAGTTTCAAATGGGGGGGGGGAAAAACAAAAAAACCCTCCTTGGTGACCATGACAAATTGGGTTCCAAAGTTATGTCCAATATTTGCAGACTATCAGTGAGCAGGAAGGATTTTCAGAATGAAATTGCCATTTCACATACTTATAAGGGTTTTTATATGAGATTATAAAACCCAATCCCACTTTGGAGCTGGAGTAGAGGGGGAAAAACTAGACCTGTAAATAAAGGAACACTCCACTATAACAACTTCCATCACAATTAAGTTATGGTGCCATGAGGTCCCTGGTACTGGTTTACCTTTAGAAATTTAAGCTGTTCAAAATCTCTTAAGCGCAGTTTTGCTCTGCCCCTCTGATAACCATTTTCTAAAAATCTTCAGAATTTTGCAGCCTGGGGTGCTGTTGATTGGCTTAGAGCAACCAGATGATGCTTTAAGCTGATTTGTAGCTCCTTGTTCTGTTTAAGAATACTCTGCAACATAATCACACAGCCGTAGTGTCAGAAGCTGTTCCATGGTAAGTAAGCAAACTGTTTTTATTGCAGTTTGACAACTTGCCTGAGGTCCCTACTTGCATTCTTATTCATTAGGAGAATATGGTTAGCTTTACAGAGCTAATGAAAGAATTAGCTGAGTGGCCAGGCTTTTGATTACTATGCAGAAAACGACAAATGTGGTACAACTGTCTGTCAAAACATACTAAAATGGTTTGATTTCTATCCAGGGGCTGGCTTCAGGGCACAGCACCATAACCACTCCAATGGACTGTAGTGGTTCTATTGCTTGGACTCTTCCGTTTATTTCATACCAGTCGTTTCAGTGCCCAACTTTGCGGAGAGTTGACCGGTTTCAGTCTGGGGCTAATTACTTTTTTGTGTATTGTCAGACCTACATACTTTGAGCGTTTTGTTTAACGGACCACTATAGGCACGCAGACCACTTCAGCTCAATGAAGTGGTCTGGGTGCCAGGTCCATCTAGCGAAACTGCTATGTTTACTTTAGGGTTAATCCAGCCTCTAGCAGCTGTCTCATTGAGAGGGGCTTATACGATTCTCACTGGGATTTTCAGTGAGAAGACACCAGCGTCCATAGGAAAGCATTGAGAATGCCGCGCATGCGCATTCAGCCAATGACATCAGAAGAGGGAGGAGAGTCCCCAGCGTAGAGGTAGCCCGGCGCTGGAGAAAGATGAGTGCTTAACCTCCTTCCTCTCACTTCCTCCCACTTCAGCCTGGCGGGAGTGGGGGCACCCTCAGGGCACTATAGTGCCAGGAAAATTTGTTTTTTTTCTTGGCACTATAGTGGTCCTTTAAGTGGTCATGATGCTAGAAATGCTATGCTATTGAGTAATGCTTTCCAATAGGCAGTTTGAATGCGCGCGTGTGGCTCTTGTCGCGCATTCAGCACTGATGTCGACAGGGTGAGGAGATGTGAGGGAGCCTGGCGCTGGATTAAGGTAAGTGGCTGAAGGGGTTTTAACCCCTCTAGCCCAGCGGCGGATGGGGGGGACCTAATGACAAACAATTTTGTTCTCCTGGCACTCTAGTGGTCCTTTATGAAGGAAGCACTGCTTCTGCCAAGGATTGTCGGCAGTTGCCTGAGATCTACTATTTGATGTGGTATGTATGTATGTATGGCAAACTTTGCCACTTGTAGCATGCTGAGATATATATATATATATATAATTTCTGTAATAACCGCTGTACTATATGTATAACCTTGTTTGATAATGTTATGTGCATGGAATTCGTATGCTAGCAGCCAAAAGCCGCCAGCATTCATGTGTTTCGTTTCACGAACATTGACTTTACTGGCTGTTCATGAACCGAATGAGCTACCCCCTAATAGCCCACACATAGAGGGACGTGTGGCGCTCATTAACCGATTGCAACAATGTTGCAATCGGTAATTAGAGACTTTCCTAGGTGGCCGTCGTTCGGCTACTGACCACGCGGCGGTCGGCCATCTTGGATCCTTTGTTTCACCGGCGGTGTCTGGTCGTCAAGCGCGTGGAACTGAAAACGGCTTCAGGAGCTCCGGTCTTTCGTTAATGTGGTTCCCCATCGGTGTTCGGTCAGTTTAGGCGAACTCGATGGCAAAGTGTATTTCGTGTGGCGTTCGGTTGTTTTAGCTGGGATCTGAGCAGTATTCCCACGAAATGTGCGCTCAGACCCCAGCTATCTACCGAACGTCCATTCGTTTAAATAAACCGAACAGTGTAAAAGTTATGTATTTAAATGTGACATGCTGGTTCTGCTGCACGGAGGGATAATCCACTTAACGGTGTATTCCAGTGGGAGTATCCCTCTCGTCCAGCAGTGCCTGATGGGAGGAATGTTAAGTCCCCCATGTAGTCCCCTTCTGTGTTACCCCTGCTATGTCATTAGGGAAACCCCTTGCATAAATACTGGATGCTGTGCATAAATACCTCAGTTGACTCCCAGAACTGTATTTCGTCCGGTTACTGGGGGATTTGGGATATTGCCTTACTTTTCAGCGCTTGACTGTGGATTACCCTCTTTACCACCGGAGATTGTGGGATTTAATATTGCCGCTCCGCTACAGTATGCTAAGCACGTCTCTTAAAATATGGTAGCATAGTGATTTATTGTGCCTCTTAAAGCGGCACTGTCATGGTATATATATATATATATATATATATATATATATATATATATATATATATATATATATATATATATATATATATATATATATATATATATTTTTTTTTTCACCCTTCCGACTCCACTACATCTAATTGACCTCCTAGTCTGCCCACAAGCCCCCTCCACCCCATATTACCTATACTTTTTTTTTTTTTTCTGGACCTAGGTCCTGTCGCCGCCATATTTGTGTGGGTAGATGAGGTCGCTGTGGGAAAAATCATCTGCCCACACTAGATAGCACTGGGAAATTCCCGCGCATACCCAGTTAAACACTTGAACATGCGAACAGAAATTTCATCTATTCATGCGTCAGTGCTCTCTGCCTCTTCCTAAGCCCCCCATGTCCTCCCTCACTCTATAATAGCATAAGGGAGATTGAAATGTCCCTACTCGCTATGCTCACTGTTTAAAAAAATAAAGTGCCCCCACCTGTGCTGTGCGAGTGGGGGCTATTAAACTGAAGGGGGGACCTAGAGCCCACCCCTGAGCTGTGGGTGGGGGACATACTTAAAAATAAGGGGGGGCCCTCTTCTCCTGGCCTCCACCTCTGAGCGGTGAGTGGGGGCCCTAAATGAAAATGCCCCTAAGGGGACTAAGGGTCCCAAAGACCCTAGTCACCCCCCACCCAAATAAATTTAATAATCCCCCATCTACCCCCCTCACCCTAAAAATAGTGAGGGGGGGGGAATAAAAGAACAAAGTACCTTCTGTAAAAAAACAACTTACCATTTGATGTCATCTTGTTTCTAAAATCATAATTTTTCAGCCCCAAAAAAGGCCAAATAAAAAGCATAATGCCAGTCGAAAGAAAATAAATAAATCAAATGAAAGAAAAAAACCTGACGCTAAAAAGTTAATCCATCTTCACCCGGCGAGGGCACGGTGCAGACTGATCTCCGCAGGGTGGGGAAAGGCTTATAAAGCCTTCCCACACCCTGTGATTTGACTCGGAGCACCCAGGGGTGGAAGCTGGGGGGAGGACAATAGGTTCCCCCTTGTTGTTATGTATGGCCACCACCCACTGCTCAGAGGTGAGGGGGGGGTGGGCAATAGGTCCCCCTCCCCACATTCACATTTAAGGCTCCCCCACCTTGCTGCTCAGGGGTGGGGGAGGGGGGATGGTGTGTGTGTGTGTGTGTGTGTGTGTGTCTTTTTTATTTTTTTATTTTTTTATTTTTTTTTAAATAACACAGTGAGCATCCACGAATAGGATCGGAGTTTCATTCATTCGAATGAAATTCCGATACGAACAAAGTCCTGAAATACGTCCTAACACGAACAAACAAACTGTTCTCATTCTGTTAGGAAACCATTCGTCCGTTTCGCCGGTGTCCTGTTTAAGTGACAAGACGTTCGGGAAAAGTGAAAGGAAGCATTGCGGGAACAGGGAAGAAAGCGAAGACTTGTGGGAAAATTTCTCTGACAATCGGAAATGAAGCACACTTTGTTCCTCCGCAGGTCAGAGATGGTCCCTACTTTGTCTTATGTTTTAAAGAAAATTAAATGAGAGGCAGAAATGAAGAACAGATTCTGGGAGAGAACAGGAATCGTGTGGGTTGTTTTTTTTTTTTTTTTAAAGAAAGGTAAGTTTGGCATGACAGTGCCGCTTTAATGTGGTGTGTGGGTTGGTTTTTAATAGACCTCACGGCAGAAGCTGCCATGTCTGGGTATCTACTTTAAATACAGAAAATTAACATCTGTGTCTGTTAGTCATTACTTTTAATTGGCTAAACTCTCCTTTATTCCAGGGCCGCACCAGATCTGCCAGTGCTGGCTCTGCCCTCCTTGGTTGAGATAATTGAAACTCACTATCTCCCACCAACGGAATCCTTTTCCATAGGAAAGCATTGGGAGGCTAATGCACATGCGCAGCAAAATGTCACGCTGTGCCAATCTCCTCATAGAAATTCATTGACTGCATGTATCTCTACGGGGGAAGTTCAGAGTCACTATGTGGAGTGTGAACGTCTGTGCTGAACAACCCAGGATGCACCCCTAATTGCTGTCTGAGTGACTGCTACTGGACGGTGTCCCTAGGGAGCAATGTAAACACTGCCTCTTCTCTAAAATGGCCGTGTTTAAATTAAATTGCCTGCATCGACAGGCTATTAACACCAGAACTACATTAAAGGGACTCTGTAGTTGCCAAAACACTTATTAAGATTAATAAAGCAATTTTTGGGTATAGATCATGCCTCTGACATTTCACTGCCATTTGAGTTGAATCACTTTTGTTTTTGTTTATGCAGCTTTAGGCACGTCTCCCCTGGCTGTGACTGACCGTCTGCATGAATACCAAATGGTTTATTTTTATCTTCTGTCTTGTAAATTTAACTTAAATCACACATAGGAGGTTTCTGTATGGTCTAGCAAGCTATCAACAGAGTAGGAGATAAAATAAAAAAAAAAATAAAAAAAATTCTAAAATTAAACAATTTGCAATAAAGTATGTGTAAACATTAGCTGGCTCTTTACAGGAAGTGTTTTTTGAAGGCTATGTAAATCACATGCAGGAAGTTGTCCTAGGGCTACATAAAGTGATTTAACTCATAAGTTGTAGAGAATTGAGCATTACCACTACAGGAATATAGTCTGTACACCAAAATTGCTTCATTAAGCTAAAGTTGTTTTGGTGACTATAATGTCCCTCTAAGATAATTTTCCTGATGATCCCAAATGGTCTATTGTCTTATCCCGCATGGTCTATTTCCATCGCTGGCAAATCTGCCTTTTTGGAGAGTGTTAGTAAGCTAATAAAAACATTTTTTGGTTAGAATAACACTTACTGATATGGTCTCACTGCAAAAGATTAACAAAAAAATACAGAAATCAGGATTAATTTTGCCAAGTTCTCCATGCAGCCAGATACTCCTCTGGCCATGTCACTCCTGCTATCTGTGCGAGCTGATGACTGGTGCCCAATATCTGTTCCAGGCTAGCTAACGATGCCCCCCCATCCTCAACCATTTACTTTCTTATCCTTTCAGTGCACATACACTCCCAGTCTGTCTTCAAACTGTGTTAAAATAAATTGCAGAAACTCTTTCACTATTTTTTTTTATTTTTTTTTTTATTTCATTGTTTTAAATATACCAGAGTTCTTGCATGTAAACGTTTTTTCCCTTCCTTTTCCTTCTATTTGTAGAATGAGTGTGCAACTTATAAATGACGAGAACGTCAGAAGTGATTTAACAGCAGAGTCTTGTGACTTCCTGCTCATTGCTCCTCAGCCTACCGGGAGGCCCTCTATTCTCCGTCCATCACAGAAAGATAATCTGCCACCGAAAGATGCTGCAAAGAGCATTAAGGTATCTACCTCTCATTTAAGTGGTCTTGTGCTTATTTCTTTTTCTGTCTCTGTATACATTCCTCTACTTCCTGTGAGCTGTGAGTTTATTAAAGTTCATACTTGCATCTGACTTTGTGATTTTAGTCGACTTAACAGTTTGATACTGGGTTATCTGAATGCTGTGGATTTCTACTCAGACCACGTTGCATATCTGAACATTTCTGATTATATAATATTTATTATTGTGTTCTTATTTTTGATCATTTCTCTTCACTCCGTTAGGTAACATTTCAGACTCCGATGAGAGATCCACAGACTCGCAAGATTGTTACTTCCAGCATTGAAGGCAAGGTGGAGACAGTTACACTGGAGGACTGCACACAAGCTTTGCAGAAGCTTCACCTGTCCGTCACTGATGCAAATTGGTAAGTATCACTCTTGCCTGCGTTGATTGAGGTTAACCATGGAATGTTATAATTCTTTAGGAACTTGTGTTTGGGACACTGGTAACATAAACCGTTTTTATCAGTAGCACAAAAAGTTGTCTGAAATGAAAAGGTTTAGTTTACATTGCAGATGTATCTAACTTCCACTCTGGCACCAGCATTACAGTTAATCTGAAAAGATTTTTCAGATTTTAGCCTAAATCCATTTTTGTGTTTAAATCCTTTTAACTCTTTATGTGCCAGATGGGTACGAACTTATTTGATGGTCCTTTTCTTGCATTCTAACACAGTCCAAAATCTGTCTTCCATTGTGTCAGCAGAAAGATTGGTTGGGAAATGTCTATTGTCCTAGACTATCCCTTCCTGGAAACAAATCATTTAACTCTTTCAAGATTTAGTCATTCTAACATGTAGCTCCTTTAACTCTATATAATCTGTTGGTCTCGAAGTGTTATATACATCACAAATCTTTAGAGGAGACCAGATACAGTTTGCACTCTAACAAAGGCATATGCAGCAACATTGACCTGTATAAAATAACTTGGCAGGGTGTTGTGAAAACTAAAATATATTTAAAGAATTACAATTTATTGGTTTATTCAAATGGCACAGTCGCCAAAGTTTTTGTGCATCTGACTAGGGATCAACCTATTTATTTTTTAGAGCCAGTAACGATAATCTGTGAACTTTCAGGCTGATAGCTTAACGATATTCTGTACATTTACTTGCAGTGTGACTATGTGCGGTAGGAACTCCCCACCCCTTAACTGTCTTAGTTTCCCCCCCATTCCCCTGTTACTCTCACTTCTTTTAGTGGTCCCTCCCCTGTACCTTAATGTTCCCCTCTCCCCCTGGTGGTGTTGTGCCCTTCTCTCCCCACCATGGTCCCTGGTGTGTCTCCTGGTAGCATGGCTGAGCGGAGCAATGCGCAACGTGGTACATGAGATTCAGTCTCCAGTACCCGGCCGGACTGACAGGAAGTGCTCTCAGTGAGCACTTCCTTTCCATTCGGCTGGGTGCAGGAAACATAAGTTCCTGTACCTTTTTGGTTTTGGCACTTTTATAATACTCTATACACTAAAGTATGGGTTGGTTGATTTATTTATTTTTACCTCTTTGCAGCACTTCAAATCCAGAAGATCACAGTATGAAATGTGATCAAACCGCTCTCCCAGATGATATACCAGTTAAAAGCATGGGTGCATATAATATTGATTTTGACAAACTGGATGAGATGAATCCATTCAAGAGCACTACTCGGATGCAGAATTCACCTGTAAAATCCGAATGCAGTTTTATCAAAGATGTTGCCTGTTACCCTGATTCTTCTTGTTTGGAGGATAAAACCCTGTCTGAATCAGCTGCAGGGGATGCAGGAAAACAAGATTCATTTGTGAAATCTTTAAGCACTTCTCCAACACATGTGGAATCCCCAGTAACTGTTCGTCTAGACAATGAAAGCTTCAACACCTCTGGAAAAAGCACATTAGAAGACACACTTCCTTTATCAACCAGAGATTCTAATTCTTCTCTCACAGTATCAAATGAAGGAACCACCAGTAACATTGACAAGGTGACTGGATCTGATCTGGATGTCTGTCCCACAAAGGACAGTGCAGTTGATGCTGTAAGTGTCAACCCAAATACTGAATCTATAGAATTAGAGGTTCCAAGTTCTCCACCTCTTCCCAAATCCTCCTACAAATTTGACCCAGAACAAATAGACATGATTGATCCATTTAATACTGGAGGCTCGAAACTGAAAGAGTCACCTGTAAAATCTGCTCCGGGAGATGCAAGTGACGACAATGCTGGACCAGTGAAGTTGGAATTTAATTTTGGTGAAGGTGATCCTCCTGTCAAAAAGCCTCCACCGAGGAAACTTGGTAAACGACCTACTCTTAGTTCTTCCAAAAAACAGTCTGGGAATGTAGAAAAAACAGCTGAAAAACCAAAGGTTAAAGCTGTTGAGAAACCATTGGAAGAGGAAGTTATTGTGCCAAAGGCAGCTTACAACTTTGATTGGGAGAAGTTTGATGATCCCAGTTTTAATCCTTTTGCCTCTGGAGGTTCAAAGATTTGCACCACTCTTACAACCTCAACTGTCAAAAATGACTTGACACCAAGTAAAGAAGACAGTCATCCAAAGGTGGAATGCCAAGATTCAGACATGGTGCAAAGTGACAAACTTGTAATGGATCAAGCCCAAGCTAACGATCTAAATGAGACCGGGTAAGTTGTTTCATCCTGTCCTCTTTTAAGAACTACTGATTTTAAAGAGCTGTTTCCCAAAAAAGTGTACACCACTTATTGTATAATGTTGCAGTGTTGAATAATTAACACTCCAGGATGGTACAGGGTCTTTTAAAGACCAGTGACACTCCATGCCTTCATCCCAGGGTCATGCTCTACAGAACTGAACTAATCATTTAAGCAGTGATCTTATCTTTCTCTGATGTTAATGGTTCCCTAATATCAATATTTTTAGGTTTCAAGTTACTGGTAGCGGGCTTAAACATATATAACATGTGATCTGTCAGTTTTTCTTTCTGAACAATCTTAGGAAACCTTTTTTCTTAAAGAGACACTAAATCACCAGAACCACTATAGCTTATTTTATTTCTTCTGGTGAGTATATTCAGGCTTTTTGCAGTAAACTCTGTATTTTCAGAGAAAATGCAGTGTTTACATTAAAGCCTAGGGATATCTCCAATGGCTTCTAGAGGTGCTTTCTGGGGCAGTGTGACTGACATTCAGTGTCTCCACCCTCTGCATGGAGACACTGAATTTTCTTCATAGAGATTCAATGCATCGCTGAGGAGATGCTGATTTGGCCAGGACTGTGCTTGCTTTACTTTGGACCTACCTCCTTGACAAGCTCAGCCAATCCAATGCTTTCCTCTGGGAAAGCATTGTGGTTGGCTCAGGTCATCACTTCTGATGTCAGCCAAGGAAGCAGATCCGGGACAAAGCCAGCAGCAGACAGGAATAAAGGTTAGATTTGACTATATTTAGGTGGACCGGCGGTAGATGGTGGTTTTAACGCTATATAGGGTCAGGAATACATGTTTGTGTTCCTTTAAAACTTGATCATGCTTATCTCATATTTAATTCCCACTTTCTATAACCTCCGATCCAGTACAAGCACTTTACTTAGTCTACCTCAATACAAAAAGAAAGCGGCCCGATCCTCCTTCTCCTACAGAGCGCCGCAATTGTGGAACGACCTCCCGCACAATTTAAAATCTTCCCTAAGCCTAAAGTCTTTTAAGAGATCCCTCTCTACATACCTCAAAACAGAATGCACGTGTCATGGTTGATTATATATTTCCTGCCTGTTCTATGTTAAATTTTGTATATATTGTGTATTAATATTGTTTTTGTATTTTGTTGTACCTAATGTAACAATGCAATGATTTGTGGACCCAGGACATACTTGAAAACGAGAGAAATCTCAATGTATCTTTCCTGGTAAAATATTTTATAAATAAAAATAAATAATTACATACAGGAGGCTATTAACACATAAGGAATTCTAAATCAAACAAAACTTACATTAAAGGAAGTGTAAACATTATGACTCTTCTTACAGTAAGTGAATAGGGCTGCATAAACCATGTGATTTAACTCCTAAATGGCAGAGGATTAAGCAGTGAGACTGCAGGGGCATTATCTATGTATTAAAACTGCTTCATCACACTTTTGATAGACCTATCCTTTGTGTCTTATACAATTATGTGTTTGCATTTATAGGGACATTATAGTCACCAGAACAACTACAGCTTATTACATTTGTTCTGGTGAGTATAATCATTCCCTTCAGGCCTTTTGCTGTAAACACTGTCTTTTCAGAGAAAATGCAGTGTTTACCTTACAGCCTAGTGATAACTTCACTGGCCACTCCTCAGATGGCTGTTAGAGATCCTTCCTGGGTCATGGCTGCCTAAAATGCATCCAAACATTCAGTGTCTCCTCCCTCTGCAAGCAGACACTGAACTTTCCTCATAGAGATACATTGATTCAATTCATCTCTATGAGGAGATGCTGATTGGCCAGGGCTGTTTGAATCATGCTGGCTCTGCCCCTGATCTGCCTCTTTGTCAGTTTCAGCCAATCCTATGTGGAGGAATTGTAATTGGATCAGGCTACCACTTCTGCTAATGTCAGTGGGCAGGTCTAAAGGAAACAGAGACCAAGTAACATTTTACTATATTTAGGGAGGCACGAGGGGGCTAGATGGTGGGTTTTAAACCTATAGGGTCAGGAATACTTGTTTATGTTCCCGTCCCTATAGTGCTCCTTTAAATTGCCCCCAAATTGTTTGCCAGCTGTGGCTAGATCGGTCTGTGCCAGACTCTCTACTTATGTGGCAAATCAGCAGTTGGACCCCCTACCCTGGGCTCTGCCAAACAGCCATTCACGTTTTCCAAGTGAATGACCCCATGCCAAAGTGACTGGTAGTTTTACATAACTTGTTTGTAATAGTGGGAGTCAAACCTTGGGCGTCCTGTTTACCTAATTAATATGACCAGCTGTCAGAGCAATTTGTAGCCTTGGTTCATGCAACAGGGCTTGATGCACTTCCTGTAATTGGTGCACACACAAAGATCTGGCTGGGCTATGGCAGTGAGGCAATGGTGATTGGCTCCCAGGCTGTGTGATCACTCCTGGCAGCCAATCCCATTGATTACCGGAGACTGCTCAGGCAATGCAAACACACTGATAAGCTCTCACTGTGGGCTATCAGCCTGGGATCCAACTCTAGGATGTTTGCTTTAAGTAGTTGGTCCCACTGGACTATTAAAATATTATGTAATGTGGAGGGAGGAATTGCTGCTAAATCTGCCAGAAACTGGTGGTGGAATGCCCTATTGCTTCAACTGTTGATTCTCTGGCAAAGAGCGCAGGGAGCAGCACCTGACGGACTCCACTTGTGAAACTATTACAAAACATCTTGACTCTATACACTGGCATGTCAGGGCACTGCTTGCACTATAACCACTATGGGGTGTCTGATATTTTGCCCCAGAAATGCTATGGGTCCCTAAACTGTCAAAAGTGCAAGTCTGTATGCTAAAATTGCAAGATTTGTAAAAATTTGTATTTTTTTTTATTTTTTTTATTTTTTTTTACTTCAAATATCTGGAAAAGGTATACATGGTGGAGGTTAAGTAGCAGGAGACTATATTGGATTTTTACAGGATTGTGGTTTTCCTAATTGGGGGGGGGGGTCACTAACTTTAACCCCTTAGTGACCAGACCGTTTGTCCATTTTCTTACCGTTAAGGACCAGGGCTCTTTTTACATTTCTGCGGTGTTTGAGTTGTCCTTTTGTTCATTTACTATACACACATTATTATATACAGGGTGTTTTTTTGACAATAAATGGTCTTTAATCATATATAATTTACTATAAATAAAATATGATGAGGGGGGGGGGGAAATTTGAAACCACACTTTTTCTAACTTTGACCCTCAAAATCTGTTGCACATCTACACCTGCCAAAAAACACCTGTTTCTAAATTTTTGTCCTGAGTTTAGAAATACCCAATGTTAAAGGGACACTATAGTCACCTGAATAACTTTTAGCTTAATGAAGCAGTTTTAGTGTATAGAACATGCCCCTGCAGCCTCACTGCTCAATCCTCTGCCATTTAGGAGTTAAATCCCTTTGTTTATGAACCCTAGTCACACCTCCCTGCATGTGACTTGCACAGCCATCCATAAACACTTCCTGTAAAGAGAGCCCTGTTTAGGCTTTCTTTATTGCAAGTTCTGTTTAATTAAGATTTTCTTATCCCCTGCTATGTTAATAGCTTTCTAGACCCTGCAAGAGCCTCCTGTATGGGATTAAAGTTCAATTTAGAGATTGAGATACAATTATTTAAGGTAAATTACATCTGTTTGAAAGTGAAACCAGTTTTTTTTCATGCAGGCTCTGTCAATCATAGCCAGGGGAGGTGTGGCTAGTGCTGCATAAACAGAAACAAAGTGATTTAACTCCTAAATGACAGGGGAATGATCTATACACTAAAACTGCTTCATTTAGCAAAAGTAATTTAGGTGACTATAGTGTTCTTTTAACATTGGGTATTTCTATAGTCACCTAAATTACTTTTAGCTAAAAAGCCTTCATTGTGGTGCATCCCTAATGTTAAAATGTTCGTGTTTTTTTTTTTTTTTTAAAAGTAGACACCCCATATTTATTACCTTGGGTTATGTCCAGTCTATTTAGTAACCACTTAGTCATAAACACTGGGCAAAGTTAGCATTTATATTTGTGTGTGTGTTTTTTTAAAAAGGGGAAAAAAAAATTATGAACGGTAACTTTGGCCAGGGTTTGTGACTTGGACTGCAAAATGGTATGCCATCATAGGTGTAATTATCATTCCTGGGCTACCATACGCTCTCAAAGGCAACGTAACCAATCTGGCAAATTTCAATGTGAGAACTGAAAATCAAGCCTTATGTTTGACCCTGTACCTCTCAAAAACACTATAAAATCTGTAAATGGATACAAAGTGGATAGCGCACTTAAAACTGCAAAATGATAGTGTCTGTCCCTTCAGAAATATTGTGGGGGGGGGAAACCTGGCTTTTATTCAGGCATCTGCCAAAAAAAAATCAACGTTTCAGTTCTCTGATGGAACGTTGGCAGGATACAGTGCAATACAAACACCAATGCTTAAATAACATACAAACACATTAACAAAATCACATTAACATCAGTGCATTGTATACAACCTGTACTTACAATTAACCCCTAGTCTGCTTACAGCTGTAGCAAAAAAAAAGGCAGGTAAAATCAACCCTCTCAAAAGAAAACCACTGGTTCAGAGATGAGGTATGATTGCGTTCCACAAGTCGTCATAGAGACAGTTGGAACGCATGGGGGCGTGATATACAAACCGCCGATCTCACTAGTGTGTTTAGAGAAGCTCCGCCCAAATGGGATGTGGCGAGCAAAGTGTCACAAAGTACCCAGAGTAGGCAGACTAGTTGGAACAGAAAGGTCTCATACCCCAATAACTATGGGGTTGAGGGGGCTTAGTGTAGAGCATAAAGCTGCGTAATCAGTCAAGGCAGTAGGAAGCCGATCTCACAGTATAAGGGAGATGGCCGGGTAGAGTAAAGCCGAGCTGCAGGATGCAGTGCCTTAGAGGGATATACCCAATTAAGCAAAAAAAATAAATGATCTACTGATCAGCTGGAGCAAGCAAAGGGTCTGAGACAGTTGCGTGTTTAATTAAAATTTTTATTTATTTATTTATTTTTTTCCTCTTGCTTCTGCTGCTCCAAAGGCTAATGTCATTCACCCACCATCAGGAGTCCAGAGGGACACAAGAGCCCAATGTGAAATGGTACCGGGTACTCCTAGTATCCTAACTAATACCATGTGCTGTATGACGCTTACAGTAACAATCTAATGTGAAATCTTTCATGATTGCCAGGTTTTAGACAGACTCATTCTTGGTGCCCCACTGAATCAGTAGAACGGGGTACATGTAATGCAGTAACTGATATATCTATCTCTCCATCTCCATGATGTCGTGATAATGAGATGTGTCAAAATGTCTCTCCTATTTCCCATGGACTGCAAACAAGCAGAGTTCTCCACATTCTGCATTGTAGAGGATGCTCGCTCGCTCCCTTGACTTATTCAGTACTCACCCTCGTACCTCCTATTGCCCTTATCACTACCCGATATACAGAGTTTGGGTGGAAAAGGTTAACACTGTTCCCAGCTCTATCAAATCAGGCAGCAGTGTGTACCTTGTCAGTGCTTCCCGTTTCTCATATTACCCAAATGCTGTCTCTTGAGACATGTAGAGACAACTTGGGATGTGATTGAGTGGTGGCAGACTGTCAATTACCCTTGTGTAAATATTTTGTGAGAAGTTTGGCTGAAGTGTGTGTGTGTGTGTATTGCATCTCTGATCCCCACATGGCTAACTGTTGTGGTAATCCTGTATCTAGAATGCCTAACAGTTTTTAAATCTATATTTTATCTGTCTGTCTTTCTTTCTTTTTAGGCTTGTTGAGACCCCCCAGTCTGAAGCAGAATCTATAGTTCTATGCAATTCAGACACCGGTATTCAAAATGAAACAAAGGTAAGTGTATGTATTATATATAAAAATTGACTTTGCTATGCCATGGTAGTGGTTATGGTTCTATAGATTGGAGAGAGTGGTCATTGTCACGCCAAGGGTGCGTAATTCATTGTTGCACAGTAGAATATTGCCACTTAATGTAACTTGTGTAGTGCATACATGAATTGGCCACTTCGTTGCAAGGTCAGATGACAGATGGGGTAATGTAAAGGGTATAGGAATGTGAAAGGGGGCTGATGGTTTACAACATTGATCCTGTGATTACTCGAAGGCTCTGTAAGGTGTGAGAAGTCACACATAAGTGGCCTGGAAGTCTAGTTCCAATGTGAATGGACTACCTTCAGCCATATGGCCTGTACCTCTTAATTGAGGAGTTAATTTCTTTGATATGTTACTGATCATTAGCCTTGTGTTCCAGTATCATATCCATAAAGGGACACTATAGTCACCATAACTACAGCTTAATGTAGTTGTTCTAGTGAGTATAATCATTGCCTTCAGGCATTTTTATGCATGTGTTTATTTTGCCCCAAGGGACACCTCCAAGTGGCCACTCAGATGGCTACTGGAGGTTCTTCCTGGTTCAGTGCTGCACAGTAGGCAGCAGTGCAATTCAGCGTCTCTCACCCCTTGCTGATTTAAGCCAATCTGATTTTTAGTCCATCCAATGCTTTTCCCCATGGGGAAAGCATTGGATTGGATAAAAATGGACAATTCTGATGTCACCAAGGGGGCAGAGCTAGCACTGGCAGACCCACGCGGCGCTGGAAATAAGGGTTTTTAATTCCTTTTAAAGGGGGCAAGCCACCTAAATGGTGGGTTTAAACACTAGGGTCAGGAATACATGTTTGGGTTCCTGACCATAGAGTGTTCCTTTAATATTTGCCCACAGAATAGTTAAACCTTATTTTTGTTATATTTTGAATGTGACCAACAGTAGCTTCTAATCAAGCCCAAACATGATTTGCATAACTTAACCACCATAGAGGAAGGGATTGTGATGTCTGCTATATTGGGTCAGGAGTAAGTAAGGAGTGTGACATATCTATGGACTGGAACAATGGTATCAAATTCATAGATGCAATTATTTCTGTGGCAAGTACATAAGAGGAGATATAACCAAATGTTTCAATTTGGCTTGAGAGAGAGAGAGAGAGAGAGAGACTCGCTTACTTGGGGGCTAGAATCTAATTCTAAGTGAGTCACCACCTTTCTTACCAGATTAGGACTACTGTTATTTTATCCCTTTTTGGTTTTATCTGTTGGTGTAACTAATTTGATCAGTCATCTATAAATTTTTTTTAATTTTTTTTTTCCCTCATAATATTCCTTAAATTCTGCCTTTTGTCTGGTAAAATAAATCCTGTTTCCTGAAAAGACAGTTTTGCAATTGCTTAAATATTGTGCGATGTTATTTATTGGGTTTTCTTTTTAAGTTACTTGGGGGACCAAGGCACCCCATTTATAACCTGTCTTGGTGGTGGCAGCGTTAAGATAGTAGTATTTATATTCTGGTTAGGTGTGGTATTTTCTTTCCGATTTATAGTGAACTTTTAACCTTTGCTCCACCACAACAACGTCATGCACATTCTTGGAATAGAATGCTTTCGTGACAGTCGTTTTTATGAAAAACTGTCTTTGCCTTTGCTTCCTAGCAGGAACCCTCTACAGCCACACTTCTCATGTGGTTGCTATGCTTCCATTATATTAGAGTATAAATCCATGTAACTTTTGATGAAAGAGCCTTCTGCTAATGTTACTGTATTTCTATAATTTTTTTTTCTTTCTATAGTCATGTTGCTTCTAAATTGTCTGAAATACGTGTCCTTATTTTGATGTAAACTTGACAATATGCTTTCAGGTGGCAGAAACTACTGTAAACCCAGTAAGTGATGGCAAGGAAGTCTTGGTTCTGGATGAAAAACCTTTACCAAATGAGCCGGACTTTCCAATCCCTAAAGATGTGACCTTAAGCCCAAGTAACGACCCAGAACTATTGGATGCAGAATTTAAGCCTGCTACAGATCATGATTTTTTGATGATGGGGGAAATGGATTTTAAACCTGCTACAGAATGTAAGCATCTACAACATAAACTGAGATTAAAATGTAAACTATATAAAAGAGGATGCAAAGAAGGAGAGTGAGGGTAGTTTTAGTAAACTCAGAATACCTGAAAAAAATTAAAACTGGCAAAACCTCTGTAAAAATAACCAAATTCAGAGTATAGTTGTGCTGGTAAACTTGTTGTGGTTTATTTATTTTATTTTTTCTCTTTCAAAATCTGTTTTCGTTTTGGAGTTTAGTGTAAAAAGAGCTTCATTTTCCTCTCTTCCACTAACTTTTATAAGTGGTAGAAAAGATCAACATTTGATTATGAACAGGGAGCTAAGGTGATGGCGCTAAATGTGTTTTTATTTATCCATTAAAAAACAAAACCAACTGCTTTACTAGAGGGTTCAAGTAAAAATAAATCCTGACAAATTACTATTCCCCCTTCTTAAGGTCAGTAGTGTATAATGCCAATGTGATTTTAAATAATGCCTTTGATCATTTTTTTTTATATTTCTTTTTTTCTTTTTTAGTTTTTCCTTCTACAGCAGGCTTGGGTCAGTCAGCAGAAATGGACTATCTTGAAAGTTTTGGCTCTTCTACAGTAAGTTGTGTGTTTGCGGTGGTTTGGTGTTGTGTGGGTTTATTTTGTCTGCTCCAGTGTCCAAGGCATTTGTAGAGACTGTTCTCTCTTGCATTATTTAACTCTCCTTCCATTAAGACCTTCTGCACTACATGGACCCTGCATTCACTTTGTATTTCCTTTTGTTTTAGTTCAAGGAGTCTGCCCTCCGAAAGCAGTCTCTATATTTGAAATTCGATCCTTTGTTGAGGGAATCTCCAAAGAAGACTGCTCCTGCTGGTGCTGAGTTCTGTATCCATGTACCCATGAAGAACAGGTTGGTTATGTTCTAGGATTTTATGCTACTTGCAGATAACGGCAATTATTACAATTTAATGATCATCTTGTCATTCCAGTTCAGAGCTGTTTCGGACCATGTCAGATGCAACCCTATTCCCTATTCCGTGTCATGAAACAGAAGAAAAACCTGAAGGGCTGGATCTCTTGGGGACATATACAGCTACAGTTAGTATTCTATTTTTAATCTCAATGGTACTAGTATGCATAATCCCCCCCCCCCCCTGCAAAGCACACAAACCTACAGCAATAGCATATCTATGCCATGCATCTATAATGCTATGATTTTATATGGAAAGAAGTGTAATTTATTACCCATACATCACACCCTAACAGCCAAGTAAATATTGCTTTTAAATAAATGCGGTGATCATGCACAACACTGGGGTAGCATGGTTTGACCAAATCCAAATGGCAGTGAGACTTTCACCACTTTTTAAATCTAAAATCCCAGCCGTGTTTCCAAATCTGTTAACACTTGCCTGTTATGGCAGGGTTTATATTGTTACTTGGCTTATAAAATCTTGTCTAAAATTTTTAATTTCTCCACAAAACATAGTGAAATTCCTTGCTCACTTAAAACCATTGACCTACTATTTCATATGTGTACATAACCTCTTGAAATTTTTGTTACCTTTGTACATGGGGTAAGTTGCATGTCCAGTTTACTTTTACAGAGCTGTGCTCTTCAAGGTTGTCCGTAAGCACAGTGCTTTGCTGTCAGTCTTCTCTCATTGTTCTTATTCAACTTCCTATCCCACATTGGTTACCAGAGCAGCCATGCTGTGTTTAGAATTGCTTCCTTTTCAGTACGGTGTCTTTTACTTGATCAGATGACCCTTCAAGCAGGTGTGCAGAATCTAAATAAAAAGAAATGCTATGATTCCAAAGCTAATATGTGTTTTGTGGTTTTACATAATCTTGCAAAACTTAATGTTTTATAGAATGGGGAATCTACATTTGACATTTAATAAATGCAGGCTCTAAATTGCCTTTGCCTTTTACTTTAATTTTTCTTCCTAGAATTCTGGTCCCTTAATCCCAGATCCGCCACTAGGTGCATCGACCTCTGATCCTTACCCCTTAATTTCAGACTTGGGGTCAATTGTTGAAGTCCTTAAGTACAGCCAGAAGGATATGGATGCAGCTGTTGATAATGTGCGGTTGGAGGTGAGTAGTAAAACTGTCTAGTGCATCTGTTTACCTACTGCTGTTTCTGCTAGACTTGTGCAAAAGATTGTTTTGGCCGATTCATACTAAAAGCATTAATTTTAATCCACTCCACCAAATCTATTTTGTTTGTAGAGTCTTTATTGATCTGGGGTGGATTAACAAAAATTTGATTCGATCAAAATGAAACACACATTGGTTTAACATACAACTGTTCGCATGTCCTTCAACTCTGAATTGCAAATAATTGTAGTTCTTTGTCTTCATTACTCAGGTTCAAGAAAAGGAGCTTGAGGTTGAGGAATGGAAACATAAACATGAGAAACTGTATCTGGAATATATTGAGATGGGGTAAGCTTTCCAAGTATCTCAATCAGTGTTCTCGCAATGTAAATGGCAGCACTACAGCCAGTGACTTATCTGGGGCTATGGCGGGGACACTTGGCAGCAGTACTGCATGCCAAATTTGTGTAGCTTGTGGTAGCTGGTTTGTGTCTATGGTTTTTATGTAAAGTTGTTTATAATATGTTATACCGCACTCTTGATATGATGCAAAAAAGTAGTATTTATTTAGATAGGTACTGTAATCCTGTGTATTCTTACAGTCCTCTGCCCAAAAGCAGAGCTGATATGTACCAATATTGTTCACTTGCACAATTGCATAATCAAAATGATCTATACATGTTGGTACTATTGACATATAAAACCGTGATAAAAAAATCCCTATGGTCCCAAGTCACACAATATGCAATATAATCTGTCAGTAAAACCATAGTATCTTGTTGGGCAGATGCCTCTAAAAATATTGAAAAAAGTGTGAAAATAAATATAAAGTGTGTGTCTGTGTGTCTGTGTGTCTGTCAAAGAATATATCCAGATCCTTGGATATAATGGAAATGCCTTATTGGGCAGATCTCACCCCCTTCTGTTCTGAAGGTGAACAATAGAGGTACATATCTGCTCTGCTTTTGAGCACAGGACTGTAACAATATACATGATTACAGTACCTATAGCTAAATACTCTTATATTTTATCTTTAATTTTATATATATATATATTATAATTTATTTAGAGTGCGGTATCGCAGATTTATCTAGGATATATTTGTGGGCTACCTTGACACCAGCACCACTATGGATGGTAGTGCCAATACATATGGAAATGCTTTATTTATTTTCCCCCTCTTATAGCATTATAGCAAATGGTAATCCTACTATTCTCATGATGCTTATCCACCTCTGGGATGCCAAGATTAGTAATTATATTAAGCACTATATTTTTGTATTTTTGAAATGCAAACTGCACACACTTGATATTTGGATCCACCCCTTGTGCCACACAGACTAGGGTTATATAACATTGTTTCCAGTCACAAAAAATAGAAAGTTCCAGGCACACTGGGTACATCCAACGCAGAATGAATTGAATACAAAAGCCAGTGTTTCAACTTATTGATTGGTTTATATACCCTTTTTTTTTTTTTCATGAAATTTATATGATTTGTCTTTATATCAATATAGAAATAAAACCCTAAACATTATGGCTCTCCAAGGCTGTCTGTGCATTAAGTTCCTGAACATTGAGTGGCAAGATTTGCCATCTCTGCAGTACGGTAATATATGGTTACCCAATCAGAGGTTGCTAAAGGTTCTGGGTAGAACCAATTGCAAAACTGGGGATGTGAGCTGCCCTTAATTACCTTTTCATATTGACGTGACTCAGGTCCTGTAACTCACAATGTGTGCAGCCTGCTGGTAATCTTGGCAATCTTTGCATTGGTTTTATTTTAATTTTTTATAACTGATTAGTATTAGCAAATTGCTTTTATTTATACCAATCCTGCTTTAATGCATTGGAAAGTAATTGGTTGTAATTTCTTCCAGGAAAATAATTGCTGAATTTGAAACCACAATAACACAGATACTGGGTAAGTTTAAAGTATATGCGCTTATCGCAATATTAATTGCCAAACCTTTATACCTGCATGTAACGTTTACAATGTGCTATGTAGGAAAATACTTGGGCTGTACCACTGAGTCCACTATCAACTGCTTGGTTTGCAGTTCTCTTACAAACTGATAAATCACGCTGCAAGCAGACCTGCTAATAGCAATAGACTTTCTTTCATGTAACCTGTCCAACCGGAAGTATTGGACACACTGCAAGGGATAACCTAACCGGGAAGGCTAGATTCTAGTTAATTTTATTTGAGTGAAGGGTTCTTCATCATGTGCAACGCTGCCTAGAGATGTATGAGTAGAAGTACCCTCTCTTATTCTTGTAGATTCACATGTTAATATCCATGGTGTGTTGGCAAACCCAAAGCTCTTGAAAGATAAAAGGTCCAAAGAAGAAGCTGCTTCAACATGTAGTGATTCTGTTGATGAGTGCCCCCCTTTTTTTTGTTTTGTTACTCAAAACCTAAAATAGTCCCAATGTTAGATGGATTAAGTTCTCCCTGCAGCTACTTTCACACATCACTGCTCATTTTGCTCTACAATCAAACTCTTCAAAGACCTGTATTGCTGGATGCTGTATGTCACTGATGGATAGAATCGAATGCCTCTCAATCAGACCTATTGAACACTATGCAGTGTATATTCGCAGGCAGCGCGCCAAGTAGCCGCTCATCTCCCTGCTAATCCCTGACCATTTCAATAGGTTCAACTGTGCGCACACGTTCTTAAAGAGTTCACATCGCTGGCTTGGTCAAGTGGCTGATTATATTTGTCACCAGCTTGCTATGCACATGGTTAACATTTAGAAGTCTGGAACAGCGTTCTAAACTTACTGTATTTTGCTGCCAGTGTAACCATACCTCCAGCAGCTGTGATGCTAACCTTTGTATTGGCAGCATTTCCTTATTTCCCTACACTTATCGACTCCTTGCACCATGACAACTTCTGCATGCAGAAGTGGCAATGGTGTTTGGTGCAACTCTTTAACTTGTGTTTAAATATTTTATTGTAGTCTGCATACAGTAACAAAAGGTTCTGTATAACTCTTTAATTTGAAAGACTATAACAGACCAAAATATTAAGGTGTTTTTATTTTTTTTTATTTTTTTATTTATTTATTTATTTTTTTAGAGGATTCTCAGAGACAAAAAGAATTGACAAAGCAAGAATTACAAAAAGTCTTGGAAGAGAAGCAACAAGTACAGATGGACTTAAATTCTATGGAAAAGTCTTTTTCTGACCTTTTCAAAAGATTTGAGAAGCAGAAAGAAATAATTGATGGCTATCGCAAGGTAATACTCTTATTTCTATTTTTTCCTCCATTCTTCCCATCAAGGTAAGATCATTAAACAACTGACTGGGCAACCATTAAGGAGACTATCTTTAGGTAACCATTTATTTTTTCCTTGGTGTAAAACCCTGTGCTAGTTTTATTTGCTGCACCAGTATGCACAGATCTTTGCTTCAGAGGGTGCAAACTGCTTTGTACTTGACAGCCCATAGAGGCATTTCTGCTGCACTGACCAAGTAAAGCCTGCGTGTAATTATGGACCGCGCACTCTATCATTAGGAATACAGGTTTGTATTACTAGTGCTTTTATTAAATGGTGAGCAAAGCTTGCACCATTATAACTGTTAAATATTGTTATGTAAAAGCAAAGAAACACACGGAGCGCAGAAAATAAACAATACAACAAATTAAAATATATTAAAGAAAATACTAAAGCAGCTTAACATCGAAAGGGACTCTCCAAGTTCAAAACCATTAGAATATACAGTGTCCGCGCTTAGTGAATACTCCACCCTGAGTCAATCTGGGGTATCACTAATATTTGTATAGCCTTATATGTTGGGGAATTCTAACTCATTGAGTCAACATCTGAATTAATGTTGACTAGTTCAGGGATGTCCGGTATATCATGCCAGTCAAATGTATCCAATAAATGTAAATGCGAGGTACCTTATAAGGTATACAAAAAAGCGCACATGGTGTAATATTGCAGTTTATTTCCAGCAATAACACATTTCCCCATGTAGAACACTTATATAAATAAATGTGGTATAGTTTCTAAAAACCACAGCATCAGCCTCGCTACAATAGCGTTATTGGTAGGTTACAGCTCCATGCGTTGGTATCCCCATTGAAGCCGAGATGGCAAACACCGAAACTCGGAGGAACTCTCAGACCACAAACTGCTGCTATAACCTGGAGCTTCGAAGAAGGCCGCTCGCGATATCAATGCTGTGACGTTACGGCCCTGGCATCTGTTGCCAAAGGCTTAAAGGAACACTATAGTCACCTAAATTACTTTAGCTAAATAAAGCAGTTTTAGTGTATAGATCAGGGGTAGGCAACCTTTTAGCAGCACTGTGCCGATATAGGATTGTGATGTCTCGTAGCGTGCGGTCCGTTATTTATTTATTTATTTTTTAAATTGAGGTGTGTATGCTGCTGTATTCTGCTTGTGTTATTTTTACTGTAATTGCTTTGTGTCGTTGTATATGCAGGGCCGTCTTTAATATCGACTGGACCCTGGGCAAAGCATGTATGTTTTGTGTGTGGGCTGTCCGTACTATCTGTATGAGAGGAGGGTTATTCTGCATTTCTGTGTATATCTAGCAGTGTGGGTGACTTCGCTGGGTTCCAGTGGGGACCATGCCGGCCAGGTACATGTCAAGGACAGGAGCTGCAACAGCAACTGCGTGCTGCTCTACTACTGTGTGGATTCCCATTCAAAAGTGCTGGGAGGAAATGATCTGAGATCACTTCCTCTACGTGCTGCAATGCATAAATTGAGGATTGTCCTTCACCACCTTTTCGGATTAGCAGATGTCTGAAGTTTTACTGGGACTCCTGATAGGCCAGACCCTGTTTGGCTCTAGCAGCCGTGCAAAGGCACCTCGAGTGTGGCGTAGGTTGCCTACCCCTGGTATAGATCATTCCCCTGCAATTTCACTGCTCAATTCTGTCATTTAGGAGTTAAATCACTTTGTTTCTGTTTATGCAGCACTAGCCACACCTCCCCTGGCTATGATTGACAAAGCCTGCATGGAAAAAAACTGGTTTCACTTTCAAACAGATGTAATTTACCTTAAATAATTGTATCTCAATCTCTAAATTGAACTTTAATCCCATACAGGAGGCTCTTGCAGGGTCTAGAAAGCTATTAACATAGCAGGGGATAAGAAAATCTTAATTAAACAGAACTTGCAATAAAGAAAGCCTAAACAGGGCTCTCTTTACAGGAAGTGTTAATGGAAGGCTGTGCAAGTCACATGCAGGGAGGTGTGACTAGGGTTCATAAACAAAGGGATTTAACTCCTAAATGGCAGAGGACTGAGCAGTGAGGCTGCAGGGGCATGTTCTATACACCAAAACTGCTTCATTAAGCTAAAGTTGTTCAGGTGACTATAGTGTCCCTTTCATAGCATCTGTGTGTACATCCATTAACTCACACCGCTGATCACTATACATAGTGCTATGGCCTATGCTTGGAGTCTTTTTATCCACCAGCATTCACATTATAGCTGATCTTGGATGGTTACAGCAAGGAAAAACAACCAGCTTCTTTCTTGGCACAAGCCGCAACTGCCTTTATTTTCACTTCACATCAGGATATACAAACTACACTTCCCTTCCCTCATCTGCAAGCCCACCTTGACAACAAAAGCCTACCTAGATCGGCCAGGCAGATATCTCAGCATGGGGGGAAGCTCCGCATCTTGTGCCATGTGACACATTAAAGTCTTTTTGTCCTGCCAGCTTTGTCGTGATGGGCAGCTTTATACATGTCTTATCGCAGTTTCTAGTTATTGACTCTTAAAGGCATACAGTCCTGTATATCTGTAGAGCTTGATAAAATTGTATGTTGACTGATACAAGTCCATCCATAGTGTCATAGTTAATAGTACAATTACAAAATGGGTGATAACTATATTGATTTTAGTATATATGTGCAAATTAATTTTTCATTTCAGGAACAGTAGGTTATGGGAAGTACAACTATTTCTTATATACCATATAAATATAGGCATTGATCAGATGTGTTTCCAATACAATAAAAAATAAAACTTGACTGTTTCCTTATGTGAAAACCATAATCTGCTACCTCTAAACTAAAAAGTAAAACTTTTAACTCTTTTTATTACAATATTAAAATAGAATTTAATGAAAGTGGAATAACGCTAATAAATCCTAATGCCTGCTTGAGGTAATTACATATCCTTATGACTAAACAATGTAAAAATATTCATATACGTTGTATGTATTAAAAAATCTAAGCATAGATCGCTAGCAAAAATAACTCTGAAAATATTGATAAAAAGATCCTCTTATGGCTATAAATGTATATTATAGGATATTGGACCGTTCAAACGCTGCATTTAAACCCAAGGAAATAGTGTGTTTAAGTTGTTTATCCAAAACATCTCCTGATCCGTGAGTTTCTTGTTTAGGACCTCCCCCCCCCCCTCTTCAGGGTAATGTAACCTGTTCTATGCCAGGGCAGACTTGGCGCTGCCATGTAAACATTAAATTGTATGACCTGTTGCAACCAAAGCTTGCTGTATTCCACCCCCGGCCTCCATGGTGCTTTGTTTTTCACCAGTGCGTGTGAATGCAAGAATACTGAAAACACATGGGTGCTAAGATTGCAGGGAGCTCCATCAGCATCACTGATAAACGACTCCTGGACCTTTAAAGTCCTGTTTGTGTGTCCAAACTCTGCTCCATGCACTTAAAGTGCTTCACATGTGTTTGCTGGGTGAAAGAACGAGGAACTGACACTATTGGAGAAGTGGCAGTTCTTACACATTCAGAGACTCTAGAGCAGGCTTCCCAAACTTCGACCCTCCAGATGTTGCTGAACTGAATAGTCTGAGAATCATGGGAGTTGTAGTTCAGCAACATCTGGAGTGCCAGAGTTTGGGGAAGCCTGCTCTAGAGTCTCATTAACCAACAATAAAGCACAGTGGGATTTGAAATGGACTCTCCGTTTTGTGTTTACAATAGAATGTAATCAGTGTGAATGTATTTCTCCAGTGCCTGTAACCACCCCTTCCCTCTTGTTTCTATTCCTTTAGAATGAGGAGACTTTGAAGAAATGTGTTGAAGATTACCATTTAAGAATCAAAAAGGAAGAGCAGCGGTATCAAGCACTTAAAGCACACGCAGAAGAGAAATTGAATTGGTAACGGTTTTAACTTTTAAAATTTGTGACTTTAGAGCTTTTGAACTCTGTATTCCTGTGTACTATTTAGTTTATAAACACCAATTCTTATGTGATGTGTAACTTTTATTTTATTTTTTTTATATTAAAGTAATTCTCTTTATTGGATTTGGTCTTCCTTTCAGCTGAATTAAATGACTTTGTTTCTCTTTAGTGCAAACGAAGAAATTGCTCAAGTGCGAAATAAAGCAAAGAGTGAGACAGTTGTTTTACAATGCACCTTGCGTAAAGAGCAAATGAAGATCCAGTCACTGGAGCGCTCCCTGGAACAAAAGGCAAGTCTTAGAACATCGTAACATGTTGATTCATATAGACTTTAACAGCTGGGGACCACTGAGCTGGACTATATATCTTGATTGGTGATGGCTAACTTGCACAATGACTGGGTATCATGGGAAATGACCAAATTGTCATTGGTTTTCTTAGCCTGTCTCGTAAACTGTCAGAATGAATTCATTGCAAAGATCAATATGTTCTATAAATGCAGTAATATTTAAATGCTCACTAGATTAGTGGTGTTAAGCTGATCTACTAGCGGCTTCCCCTAGGCCAGCCTTTGA